GTGACCTGGCTGAAGTCGGACGCTTAACCGACTGCGCCACCCAGGCGCCCCAAGGAAGGCTTTTAAAGATATGTGTTACTCGTTCCCTCTGGAAAGAACACTGCAGATGCCTGGACATGGCTCCGCTTTCGTTCACAGAAAGTCCGTCCACCGGAAGTGCGCCAAGAGCCCCTCCACCTCGGCCCCTTCCGCCGTCCCCAGTCTCCAGCTCTAGGGCAACCGAGACGCGGGCCGAGTACACTCCTTCTAAGACTATTATGAAGACAGAATTACAAGCTGGTCAGTGCAGACTAGAGCGCGGAGAGAAAAACGACGTCAGCATGTCGGTTCGGTAGTAAATGGGTCGTGCCGGGAAGCGGCCACTTGGCACGTGGCTGTGCAGCAACCGGCTGTTGGTGAAACCCGCCCGCTCACCCGGGACACAGCGCGGACCGAGGGGCAGAGGCCGCCTTCGAGCCCGCCCACCACAGGACTGCGCTTGTCCCCTCTGCCTCCTACGAGCCTTGGAGATAGGGACATGACCCTTGCCAGGAGCTGGGGCTGAGCCCATCCACCCACGGGCCGGGCCCTAGGGAGGACGAGAAGGCGAGAGTGAGTGGGAGGGCCCCCCCCCTTTGGACCCTGGCTCAGAGGAGCCCAAATGTGGGCCGGTCGCCGACGCTCTCCGCTGGCCGGCGCCACACCGGAAGTGAGCCGTGTGCTGTGTGCCAGGCCGGCCGCCGTAGGAGAGGCAGTTTCGGGGGCGGGGCTTGACGCATCGAGTCACGAGAGGGCCATCGTGTGGGGTTTTAGAAGACGAAATGCACACGCACGGGTTAAACTTGCACGTGAGGGGCGCCTGGTGTCTCGATGGGTTAAGGGTTCACTTCAGCTCCGGTCATGATCTCACAGTTCGTGGGTTTGAGCCCCGCGTCGGGCTCTGTGCTGACGGCTCGGAGCCTGGAGCCCGATTTGGATTCTGTGTCTCCCTGTCTCTGCCCCTCCCCCACTTGCGCGCGCGTGTGCGCTCTTTCTCAAAAATAAATATTTAAAAATTCTTTTTAAAAAAAGGACATTTGGGGTGCCTGGGTGGCTCAGTCGGTTAAGCATCCGACTTTGGCTCAGGTCATGATCTCACGTCCGTGAGTTCGAGCCCCGCGTCGGGCTCTGTGCTGAGGGCTCGGCTGGGAGCCTGGAACCTGCTTCGGATTCTGTGTCTCCCTCTCTCTCTGCCCCTCCCCTGCTCACGCTCTCTCAAAAATGAAATAAACATTAAGTAAATAAACTTTCATGTGAACTAGGTAGCACAGCCTGTTAGCCATTACTATTAGTATGGTTTTGCTATTCTTCCTAATATTAGGTCTTTGACATACGATAACGCTTGCTATCACAATGCCTGGTGCCTATAGATAGTTGATAAATACCACTTTTCGCTCCTCTACTGGCTGACTTTGGGTATAGGCGCCTGCCTGCTGCTGAGGGAGACCTCACGGTCTCCTGGGGCTCCTGAGGCAGCCCTTTTGCTCTGCTGCGATTTCAAAAGCCAGTCTAGTGATTAACATCAGAACAGGCGTTAGGGCGAACGCGGCTGAGGGGCACTGGTCGGCAGGGCCGGCCGGTCACCGGTCTGTCTGCAGAAAGCTGGTGGGGTCGATGTGGGAAGGCCCTGAGGGTGTTGAAAGTTACGTTGGTGTGGTGCAATAAAAAACCCAGTGATAAAGACCAAAAGGGAAACAGCGACCAAAAAGGGCAATAAACGTGGGCTTAATGGGCTTATTATGTGTTTCCTAGGAGTTAAGAAAGGGAGTTTATTTATGTGCATATCCTGTTCTGAAAAGATGCCCTAATAGTTAAAAATAGCTTAGTAATTTGTTACTTTTTTTGATAGCGTGTTGCAAGTTAAGTAGCTTGCATTCACACGCAGTACGTGCCTCTTGCCGCGGGACTATGCGAGCAAATACGGAAGGAGTTTGCAGACATCTGCCTTACAGAAGGGAGAGAGGATTCGATGTAGCCCCTGTGCACAGCCCCGTCTGGCTGTAGGACATCAGGGACTAGGAGGACTTGTAAATATGCACCCTGCAGCAGCCAGGTTATACACAACAAGCCAAATTAATCGCTACAAAGCCAGACCACCATTCATAATTAAAAAGCAAAGATAGCAGAGATTGGAAACTAAAAGCCACTCTGCAGCCCAGGTGACAACGGATCCTCCCCGGGGCTTGGGGGGATCCAGGCCCCTGAAGGCAGGTGCAGCCAGTGCTCTGCAGCCATGACGCGGAAGGCCAACTTTGAGAACACCGAGCGAGGAGTGAGGGGCTCTGTACCTCGTCTTAGCGGGTAGCTCTCCGCCGGTGGCTGGTCGTAGCTGGTAACCCTGGATGTTATGTAGTCAGGACGACTTGCATCTGGGGTCATTTCTCAGCCGGACTCCTGGCCCCGGGGGGGCGGGGGGCACCTGTGTGCTCACGGTGCCACTGTGCACAGAGGAAACACGGGGAGGGGAGGGCCTGGTGAATTAAGGGTAGACAGTGGGGGTGGGGGGGAGCATTTGGACTGTTTGCTCTTTGGTATTTTCTGCAACGTTCTGCAAGTGACATGTTACTTTTGGTTAGTTTTTAGAAAGTGTTTCATCCAATGTGTGGAGTCCCCACGATAGCACAGCGCACAGATGGCCGGCAGCGTCACTGCCCTGTGGGAGCCAAGCACCCGGGGCCGTGAGATGCTTGCGAGTAAGGGAGCTGCTGGGACGGTGACGAGCAGTTGGCACTGTTTCCGGGAGAGAGCTGACGCTCTGTTGGGGAGTGAAGCCTTCTGCTTCAGCACCGCCTCCCATGTGAGGTTAAAGGGACGGAAGAGGCACCTTCCCTGTAGCTGTGACTGAGGCTCTTCCGGAACATTCTGGTAGAAGGGTCAAAGGCCATGGGATTGTTTAGCCCGAAGGCAGGAAAACAGAGGTAAGACCTAACGCATTTTACTTAAATGGAAAACAGAACATAGGAAGACTGGCCGGGGTCAGGTACGGAGAGTTTCTCGTTTTTAACCTTTTACCATTGTGAAGTGTAGCACATCCACGCAGAAATGTACATAAAGCCCAAGTATGTGACTTCATGAGCTGCAGCCCAGCACCCAGAACGTTGCTTCCCAGTCGGAACACCCTTCTTCCTCCCTAAAGGTGACCCCGTCCCGGCTTCTGTGAGGTGCCCGCTGTAGTTTTGCCTGGTTTGGGACATGATGTAAGTGGACAGGTAGTGTGTCTTTGCTCGGTGTCCTGTTTAGATGATGACCCACTGTGCTGCGTGTGGTTCCAGCTCTGTGGTGTTTGACGCCGTGGAACGTTCTGTCGCCAGTATGTGCCGCCATCTATCCGTTGTACTTTTCCTGGACGTTTGGGCTGTTTCCGGGTTGTCTGTTCCCAGTAAGGCCACTCTGTGTACGTGCGTCCAGGTGTAGAAGTGGGACTGCGCACTTGTAGGGCGTGTATATTCCCGCCTGTCCCGCGTATCGTGAACTGGTTTCCAGTAGGGAGTGGGAGCTGCTGCCCACGTGGTCGAGCGGCCGGTCTGGGGGTGGGCAGTAACTCTGTGGCCTTCCCGTGCATTTCCCCAATGTGAGGACATCGAGCGCGGTTTCATAGGTTTGTTGATCTTTCCAGCTTCATCGAGTTCTGTGCTACATTCTACCCATCGATTATTCTTTCCACACAGTGGATTATGGGTCAGTCACTAAGTGCGGAATGTCAGGAGGCACGGCACTGTGATCCTTGTCGGGAGTGCTGGTCCTCCCCAGCAGACTGTTGGCTAAGGGCACCTGCCCTTCCCCAAGGACACCTGCCCTTCCCTGGCAAGTGGGAGGCACGTGGGAGGCGTGTGGGAAGCTGCGTTCAAGGACCCAGGCAGGCATTTTCAGAGCACAGATAAAGTGCTCTGTAGGGTAAGCGCGGAGTAACGGAGAAGCACAAAATGAGGGGCTGCAGAGGCACCCACTCCCCAACCCAGAGCTGGGTGACGCTTCCTGGGGAGAGGATATTTGAGGCAGCCCCTGAGAGCCTTTGGTCAGAAGCAGCGCCACAGGTACATTCTAAGCCTCGGAGGACACGCACAGACGCACAGGAGGGGGAGCCCAGCCCACTGCCCATGGGGAGTTGGAGGTTGGGTGCTCCAGGGAGACCGGAGGGAAAGGGCACCAGCCGGGCATCCTGACCTCACAGGCCGTGGGGACGAAATGGCGATGAAACAGGAAATCAGTTTCTCACTGGGGAGGAATGTGGACTGCTGACCATAGGATTGACCTCTTGGACAAGCCTACGTGAGATCAGTTGAATTTCCCCCAGCAGACAACAGAAGTTATCTTTGGGGGAGTCATAACTGCAGTGAGCGCACAGTGGGGGTGCAGAGTGAGGCCTGGGTTTATCAGCAGCCCGCCTCAGGCCTCAGTTTGCACGTAATTTGGGAGTCAAGCCTGCCTACCTGGCAGAGCTGTGAAGGCGTGCTGGGATGGCGTCACCATTAGACCCTAAATGGTGCCCCAGCGGTGGTGGGTTTAAATCGCTCACAACCTGCTGGGAGGGTAAGTGGTGGGGGGCGGGGGGACGGCGGCTGAGGCAGAGGCCCAGCCTCGGGCTGTTTCCACAGAACTGGGCTGGGGGGGGGCGGGAGTTGTGCCCCGGGGGTCCCGGGCGGGGCAGGGCATGTGGGGCGTAGCCGCCTTCCTGAAGGAGTGACTCCAGTGGTCCTGCAAGCCGAGGGTTAGATCGGTTAGATCGGCGTCTGTTGGCTCCGCTCAAACCCCTCCTCCCGCTAAACTTCCCAAAGAGGCGGTCCTTCGGAGGAAACGAAAGTGAAATTGAGCCGGGCCACTTCGCCGCAGCCAGGCCGGCCGCGCGCCCAGGCTGCCTACTTCGCTGTCCCCGGGGGCGAGTGCGTCCGCCCGGAGGAGGGGGGGGGCGGCCCACCTGGGGAGGGGAGCGCCCGGAGGGGGAGGGTCGCCAGCACCGCTCCAGGTCATGCGTCGGGGGCGCCATGGACCCCAGGCAGGTGAGCCGGTCGCGCCCGGACGGGCCTCGGCCCGCACGTTTGCGTGTGTGCGTGTGGGTGGGCGTGTGCGCGCTGGTGTGAGCGTGGGTGGGCGTGCGCGCGCCGCATTCTGGGCGTCTGCGTCGTGCCCCTCGATTGCGCAGAGCCGAGCAGCGGGCAAGGGCGCCCGGCCTGAGCCCCGGTGCGGGCGGCCCCCTGCCTTTCTGAAGCCGCCCAGCGCTGGCGCCTCTTGGGCAGTGTGCCTCACTGATAGGCGTACCCTCTCTGCACGCCTTCCACTTCCCTGAGGCTCCTGGGGAATGAAAACCAGCCCTTACCACCTGTGGGAGAAAGTTTGTACACAGCAGCTTTATTCATCGCTGCCCCAAACTGGAAAACCCACACGTCCCTCAACAGGTGGTTGGCCCAGCGCCCCGGGGGATCGGGACAGTGCTGTACCGCTAGGCAACAGCCAGAGGACGGAGCCTGGTACAGCCCTGGTACAACGGGCGAACCTCAGGCTCACTTTGCTAAGCGGAAGCGAGCCTCAAAGGACTACACGCCACGAGTCCATTTACATGACACTTTGGGACGCCCTGCGCTGGGGGGACAGGAAACAGATGGGCCGAGGAGCGGCTGTGGGGGCGGGGTGTGGGGACAGGCGGCGCTCGGGTCGTGGTTGTGGCCACAGTATAGGGCCGCGCGTGCTCGGACTCTGTGCGATCAGAACGCATAGGATGTACGCCAGAGGATGCGCTTTGTGTAAATTATGCCTCCGTTTTTCAAAGACGCGTGCTTTTCGTTCCCCTCTGTCAAAGGGCTAGGGATTCCCGGTCTGAAAGGAAAGCATCCCTTCTCCCAGAGCAGTCTATTGCCCGGTGGAGCCCGTGTGGTAAAGGTGGGGGCTCAGCTCTTGAGCCGAGATTCCTGCAACTACACGAAAGCGAATTTACAGGCCGGTGAATGCGGACCGGCTGGGAGATGTTGAGACATTGGAAGGGTCCCCGTCAGCTGGCTGCCGCTGTCCTGCTCTCGTTCCCGTTCAGTGGCTCCCAAGGGCTGTCCCCAAGCCACGCTTTGGCTGGGCTTGGCTTTCAGGAGACTTAAGGGGGCGTAAAGACAAAATAACCTCCCTGTAGATTTCCTCAAAATAAGCGCTATGAACAAACACGGTATACCTTCCCTTTTCTCCGTGTTCACTGTCTGCACACGTATATATGTGCATGCGTATATCCTTGGGGGGTTTTCTGTTTCCAAAATGAGATTATAGATCATAATGTTCTTCAAGTTGCCTTTTTGTAATTTGACTTAACTTTTAATTTAATTTAATTAACTGTAATTTTGTCATTCCTAAAATTTTCCAGGTGAATACAGGTAGATTACAACACACTGTTTAAAAAAAACCCACAAAGCCCTGCTGTCCCATAGCCTCACTAGCTCAGCCCCTC